ACATCTATTTGATTCAGTATTCCTCTCTTTCTCTATCTATCTATCTATTTATCTATCTATCTATTTTTTCCCTTGTTGTTACGTAATAGTACTGCGAATAAATATATTAATAGTTCTTAAGGATCAATAAAACATCATCTTGTTTTTTTTTGTTGTTATCCAATATACAACTTAATATATTTAAATACACTTACCTTCTTCTTTCTCTTTTTTTTTTTCTGTTTTATGTTCCTAATGCAAAAATATGGAATGAGGGTATTTATTTTTTTTTGAAGAAAATACAAATAAATATAATTTTCAGCTAATTGTTAATATTTTATTTACATAAAGGCAGCACCATGGCCAATTTGTTTAATTGAGAATCAACGATTCTCAAAAAGATAAGCCAAATCTTTAATCACGATCGATAATAAGATTTAATTGTAATAGTAATATTCAATAATAATTATAATAATTATAATAATAATAAGAATAATATTAATAATAACAAAAAGAAGAAAAAACGAAGGCTTCGTCGTCAACTATTAAATTTCTTTTGTTTTTTTGTTTTCTAACTTTGCTCTATAATAATTTGTCGTCAAACGAACGTCTTCTTGAATTTCTTTCTTTTTGTTACATTTTCCTACTATTTTTCTATTTTGGTACGTTAGCCATTGAAAAGAAAGAAATGCCATTTTCCTTTCTCAGCTAACGACATTATTTTTAATTCTTTTTTTCTTTTTTTTTTCTTTTTTCTCAGAATATCTGGATAATGGATGAGAAACACGCACGCTTTATAAAAATATTCGTAAAAATACAACATTCTCGTGTAATAATTTATCTAAGAGCATTTTTTTTTTTTTTTACGTATACATACACAGGACTAATGTTTGTTTAAAAAGAAGAAGAAAAGAAAAAAAAAAAGCCCGCGAAAAAATCGCAATCGTGAGTGAGTAGTAGCCCGCCGATTGGCCGATTATTCGTAATTTTTAAACACTTTCTTTTATTTATTTATTTATTTTTTTTTTTATCCACATCGATAATGTAGATTTACATTATTCGGTCGATTTTTATTTTTAACATTAGATATACACCAGACGACCAGTCGTCGTCATTTTGACTGAGTTTTGACGCCATTTTCATTCCAAATTTCTACTTCATTTGAGTTCTGTAAATAATAATTAAGCGTTTTATTATTTAAAAATGTCTATAAATATTCATTTATCTATTAAAATTATTATTGTTAAACAATTATTGTTATTTTTTAAGAGTAAATAAAGACTGGAAGCTTGAAAAAGTATTTTTTTGTATACACCAGTCCACTTTGACTAGTGTGGTAGAAAATGGTGGTATATATCTAGTGTTAACGATAAAATAAATTCATTTGAATTTGAATTTTAATAATGTAAAGAAAGACAAAGAAGAAGAAAAAAAAAAGACACAGTAGATAAAAATCTTAACGATAATTTACATTTGAACGAATAATGAAAAAAACAATGTCGTAAATTGTTCGAATTTAAATTGTTATTCGCATTATTTCATCGCAGTATTTATTAAAATATGATTTCATTTCACTAATCAATAGATCAATGTTTACTTTTTGAACAGTGATGGAAATAGTGTACAAAAAAAAAAAAAATAACAGATAATAAGCAAGTTCTTAAATAAATCAATCGGTTAATTATTTCATACAATTTTTTGCAATCAAACATTCATACATACATACATACAAATATATATATATATATATATATACAAAATAAATCTAATTTTGAAAGCGTCATTTTTAAGAATAAATTCGTGATTATTTACAATAATCTGACTTTTTAATCAAAGTCAAAAAAGATTGCGCAAATTTATATTAGATTATTTTTCATTTTAATATTGGCATCTCTAGCAGCACTTGAATACGCTATCTGGTGACTAAATTGAAAATTAGAATAGATAGGTCGAATTGCTAAGCCACGTCTCTGTCAGAAATCCCAATACATCGAATTGTTTTACCTTATCAATGAAAAACAAAATAAAATATAAAAAAAAAAAAAAAATTAGTTTCGTGTATTATTAAAATACATAGAAACAACTTTGTTAGACCGTTGAAAAATACTATTTCCATCACTGTCTCTTTTTTAAATTAATTATCACTGAAGTATACAATTTTCAAGTAAATATAAAAACATAAACACGCGCTAAAGCAGCAAAATTTTGTTTCGTACGATATTAATTGTTTGTCGATTAAAAATATATCATATTTATTATAATATTATGTATATTTATCTATTTTGTTTTTTTTTTATTTTTTTTTTTTTTTTTAATACATATCGCACGTCTAATAAAAAAATACAAATAAAATAAAGCGTAAATCCTGCTTCTGCCATGATGGGCGAAATGTGATTGTTGTTCGTATTTTGTGCAACAATTTGACACGCTGAGATATGTGCTAAACAATATAATAATAATAATAATAATAATAATAATAGTAGTAGTAATGATAATAATAATAAGAATAATAATAATAATATTAATGATAATAATAATAATAATAATAATATTAAAACCAGATTGTTGTTCCTTGGGATGGACGAGCGATAAATTATGTGAAATGAAGTCAATAAATGTACAAACGCGTTTCATCTAAATATTTTATCCATTTCATGTAAATACAACACGTGTAACATGCACGCTCCTCCTCACACATATACATTCATGCATCATACTTTTAAGAATTGAAAATATTTCATTTTCATTCGTATCTTCTTTTTAAATCATCCCCTTATTTACAATCCGATTCTCGTAATTCATCATCATCGTTTGTAAGAATATTATATCAAAAAGAAAAACAAACAAAAAAATTGAATTCAATGATAGAAACGCGTTTGCGTGAATAATAAATAATATAAATTCGTAGAATGTCGTTTGTTGCACGCGTGTGTGCAAGTTCATGCAACTTTTTGAGTTTCAAGAGAAAGTCAAAGCAAAGAAGAAACAAAAAATACTAATTCTAATGAAAATCATCTAAAATTCAAAAGGTTGAACAACATTTTGTTTTACATTAACCCCTTAAACCCTTTGAGTGCTATGAACGCATATATGCGTTTGTTACAAATTATTAGCGTGATTGTTCGACATATATATCGTGTTTGTTAATATTAATGTTTATATTAATTGATGAAATTATATTTACAGAAAGAAAAACTTTAATTATTAGAATTGAATTAATAATAAATTATTTCGTTTGTATAAAATATTTTGAATAAAAAAGTATTCAGCAACTCAAAGGGTTGCAACATTGACGAAAATTTTGTCGACTTTTGTTTAGCGTATTCTTTCTTTTTCTCGAAAAAATGAAAAATATACTGTATAAGTTGTTTTATTATTATACATATGTATGCATCCACTCGCACACTTACTTTACAACAATCGTCTTTTGGTATTATTATTTGTTGTTCGCAAATCTTTCGTATTGCGAAAGATGCGGAAATGACGACATCTTGAACGAAAAGCTTTTATATTTAGGAACAAGGTAGTACGCGTATTTCATTTCGCATACTTCTCTCTCCTTTCTTATAACCCACACACACACATACATACATACATACATATACAAGTAGACGACATACCAACTTTCTTCCATTTTAGTTCTTCAATTTGTATTTTTTCCTTTCAAATTCCTCTTCCATTCATTCAATTATATATTTTTTTCATTCGACACATCTTCCATTTTGTTCTCCATCTTGATTTGCCTCCATCTTGAAATGTTCCGTAAAAATGGCGGATGATAAATAATAGGATAAGAACCGAAAGACTTTGACGATTGATGATTATAATAATGATGAATAATGATGACGATGATGATGATGATGATTGACGAATGAAAGACTCCGAGACCTTTTTATACGTGTCTTCAAAGACCGCCAGCGGCCATTTTATAAAAATTGAATTTTTGTTCAATTATTATTAGTCAATGGGAAGACACGTTGGACGGTATCGAAGATCCATCACATCTGAACTTTTGTTTACTTATATGTTTCTCTTTTTCTTCCTTCGTCCTGTAATGTGATCCATAATTTTTTGTTGTTTTGTTTTTGTTTGTTTGTTTGTTTCCTTTTTGTTGTTGTTTTCGATTGTTAAAATGTAACCAACCCCCAAGCACCTTTTCACGCGCCACAAATTACTTTCAAAAATCTTTCTATCTTCGTTCAAACACATTCAAAAGTATTGTTTAAAATCGCATCCCTGAGAGACCACCATTTATTTCTACACAATTTGTTTTTATTTCTCTTCTTCTTCTTCTTCTTCTTCTTTCACTGTATTTTTAATCTTCATTCGCATTAAAAAGCGTTCCTTCTTTTTTTGTTTTTTTTTTCTTTTTCATTTTTAATCTCGTTTAAATGTTGGTTGTGTATCATGAGTAATATACCTAAAAGTATATATACATATATATATATATATATATAATTCTTTTTCTAATAATTTTTTTTTTTATAGATGAGTAAAGCCAACCGAACTTCAAATTCGATCAGATTCGTCAATCATTATTCATATCTTTCAATTCCGTATATGCAATTCTTTTACGATAAACGTTGCTTTCGGTAGGCCCATATTTTCTTCTTGCACCCATAGTTGACGGCCCTGGCACGGTATACTGTCTACGCTTGTACATCACCATTCTAGAAAAAAATAAGAAGAACAACAAACAAAACAAATTTCGATTAGTACAATTAACGATTATTATTATTATTATTATTGCCTAATATATTAACGAAAGAGAGAGAGAGAGAAAATTGATCATCGAAAATATTTGAAACAGATAATTATTTTCGTAAAAACAAAAACAAAACAATTCAGTTTTCTTCGTTGTCTATTTTCCCCCACCTGCGTCTCCTCCTAATTTTTAACGATTGAAATAACGAGACAAGAAAGGGGACTACTTATCGATTAAATCCTCTTTTTATTTCTTTTTCAATTCAATTTTAGTTCATTTTATTATCTTATTTGTTGGATTATTGACAATTTCTTTGGATAAACTGTAAAAAAGTTATAGTTGCTGCTTTTGAAATTTTGAAGTGAAGTGTTGTTGTTTTCTTTTTCTTTTTACAAGCCGACGAATAAACTGTTACACATATGTAACTAGATACTATCAGAACTATCTCTCGTGATAACGTGAAATTATGGAGTATTATTATTATATCAGTGTTATGAAACAAGAAGTAAAGTTTCTAGAATAATCATCCTAGAAACGAAGAGAAACCAAAATCATCAAGGATACGCTATATGGTAGTTCCATCTGTTGGAAAATTATTGCAATCAGGATTTACTATGTTTCCAAGGATATATTCAATTTTATAATTCAATTCACAGTGGGAAACTTTCGTTCCTTTTTTTTTTTTTTTTTTTTTTTT